TAAGTTCCATATTATTTGACCTCTTTTCCCTTTTGGTGGATCCAGTATTACTAATTGAATACTGTTAAATCACCCTAAGGAAATTGTCCCTGCTTTTTAAATTTGTCTTTTGGCAGCTTATCTTTGCAGGCTTCAAGCAAGAATGCAACATTTTCAATTCTGTCGTGTTTGGAGTTATTTAGGGATTCTGTTTTTCTGTATTTTAGGTATACGTGAGGTAGTAATGATAATGTCATGGAAGAAATAAAAAAGTCTGATCTCGAAAAGAACATGCATGAATAAAGCTGGAGAGAACAAAAAGTAATTTAACACTTTTTATGTCGATGTGTTTTCGATTTTAATTGATAACTATTATTATCATGCTATGATACAAAGTAACACATTTTCAAACGAATAGTAAATTTAAAATAAAATCTATGCAAATTCATCAGTGTGTATGCATTAGTAAGATTATGATGTCAGTTGCTTTATATATTTATGTTCAATTAAAATATTGGCTGTTTAATTTCCCTGGGCGTGTGTCATACAACTGTAGCATACAAAAGCTTTGATTTCACAAAAACCTTTCACCGTTCAACATCAATATATTGTATATATTTGGGTTTCATTTTAATTCAAACAAATATCTAATCTACTTAATGTAATCCCCTTGAGAATACTTAGATCGCTCCTGATGTAGTAGGAATATAATTGAATACTCCTTTCTACTGCTATTTAAAACGACAATAGAATTATGTGAGAACTATCATTTTGGTAACAGAACAGATGTATTTGTCCCAGGAACTTTTACTGCCAAACAAGATATTGAGTTTTACAATGAATTAGAATTGATGTAATGTTGTAGACACTTAATGAAAAGGTGCCTGAAACATATAAATACAATAAAAATAAGTAACATTTTTAACAGAAATATTAAACTAGAAAGTAAATTATTGCAACAATTAAAGCCAACTTAAATTGTGATACGCTGTTGGCTCAACGATATATTATTTCAGAGTTAATATTTCACTCCAGTTGTGATATTTATATAAAAAGATTAAACGCGTTATCTTGTTGGGTCGCCTCCGCGATTACAACTGTGTTAGAGGTAAAACAATACATTAAAATCGAATAATATTTGAAAACCTGTTGTGATACATCATTTGAGGCAAAAACTACCATTTCAAACGTTTTCATTTGATAGATGTTGTAAGTCATAATTTCGAAACGTAACTTTCCATGGTGTTAGAAATAGGTATCTTTATATCGAGCTTTTGAATAGAAACATGAGGAAGTATATGTTCTTTGTGTATTCATTATTTGTTATCTATTTTCCAAATAACCAATGTTGTACTTTCAGATGATATAAACATACGTTGTACAGCACATTACATTTACTTCTCAAACATTTCGATGGCAATGCCGGAATTTTTCATTGATGTGTAACATTTTGACAGAAATGTAATGAAAACATATTAATGTATCTGAAGATAGTTTGAATTAAATGAACAATATCTCAAAGTATCTCGAATTGAAAAGTTCTTGCAATGTAGGTAAAATGTTTTTAAAAAAAATTATAAAAAAACAACTTTTCTGTGTACATGATAATTTGGTAAAAACATGCATCACGAAAGGAATAAAAAATAGTGTCAATAATTCACTTAACAATCAAGGGTTTGTTATCGGTTATGGTCACCTAGCTACAACATCGTTGAAGCTAACATGTATGATTGCACAAATAACAAAAAAAGCAATCATTTAGACGGAGGTCGTTTTTGAAGAGAAAGAAATTATATGATACATTGGATTTTGAACATCAAAACAAATCGCCAAAGATTTAATGTCACTTTTAATAAAAACCCTTTAATTTGATTGACATATCGGGCATAATATCCTCGAAAGGAAACGAGAAACCGTCAACTGCTTTTCAAAATTAAAACACTATTCAGATATTGAAACTGACAGCACAGGATCGTGATAAAAGGGTACGGGCATGGCGAACATGTGAGATCTCAATCTCAACAAAATAGAAATCAATGTTTACATTGTCAACAATACATGTAGTTTTATTTAGACCACTACACTCGCTGAAGCAACATTTCGACTTGTAAATTACTTTGCTCTTAATGATGTTTGGTCTGTGTATTGTTGTGCAATTAACTGTATGAGATGTTTGTCCTACGAGTTCTCTTACGCATTGAAATGTTAAAAATTTTATTAGATGTTGATGTAAAATGAACCATGTTTCATTGCACTCAAACAGTCAGTTACTTCAAATTTGATATATATTCAAAACAATGATAACCTTTTACCGTACAGGAAATGATATGGGTGAGATAATTGAAACGTTGTTCTATCTGCTGGGCAAACACTTGTTGTAAATTTAACACACTTGTAATGTGAAGCATATAAATGATAAAAAGATTGATAGCAACAGTTTTATTACGTTTATTGTTTTAGGTATCAATGTAAATTACGGTATTATAATGCAAGTAAGCAAATAGGAAGCTCAAGTAAAATAATATACTGTTTAAAAACATTTGCATGAAATCTACCACGAATAGTTCTCGGAACACCCTTTGGTAATATTTATTCGTGTAACTATACATTAAAAGTCTGTGTTTTCGTGTTAAAATATTGAAATCTGCTAAAGCCGGTGCTAGGGTGTATAACGGTTGTGTGATGGGCTTTCTTTAGAGATTCTTGTTTTCTCTATTTTAGGTAATAAGAATTTCGTTAATTCGAACATGTTAGTTAAAGTGAACATGTAAGTGACAGTGAACATGTTGATTAAAAGTGAATTTGTTCGTTTAAGAAATCATGTTTGTTCAAGCGGATAGTTGAGGTAAATTTTGTTACAAAGTCGTTTTATCATCTGCGTATATTTATGTTATGTAGATAAAAAAGTTAAGCACAGGTTTCTTTGCTTAAGGTAAGATACCTGTAATGGGTATATTTAGGAACCTGATCAAGCTTAATATGTTATCAAAGTACTCTATTTAACTTATTCAATTGCAACTTTTCAAAGACATTTACCATCAAGTTTTCAAATTATAAGCATTTTTATGTGAATACCCCCTCCCACTAAATTGCCCCCAAAACAGTGGGGGTAGGGGTAAGGAATACATATGGAAAAAAAATGTGCTGCTTTTACCTACAATGTAAGTGTTTATTATGTTTCAAGACATATATTATGATAACAAAATAACAATAAACTGTTCACAAAATGTATTGATTTCAGCCAGTTGACTAAACCCTCATCCAAGATTTCTGAAACTTAGAAAAACACATAAAAATAGATATAAAATAAGAATTATTATTATTATTTTTTTTTAATATTTAAATTGGGGCAAGCAAATTACTTCTATAACTTTTAATACTCTTCCATAGCAATCAAAATATGGACATTTCATGACCTCTTTCCACATTACTTTTTTGACAAAAATGTGTTTTACAAAATGATGTAAAAAATTTTACGAAAAAAAAAAATGTACAGCATAGCTGTTACCTGTCTTACTTATCTCTTGGAAAACAGCAGATTTTGTAAAATATGATTATTTATGTGTTTTTCTAAACAGAGGCTATCTTAATAAATGTACAGTCATTTAAATGAAATCTTCAAATATTGTTTTATAATATTTGTCATGTTCACATTCTCAAAAATTTCATTGCTTAACTTCCAAAATCTAACAGGAAAATTATTGAAATTTATTACAAGAATAACTATTTCATCACAAGAAACTACTTGAATTCATTGCATCCTCTCAGTAAAATATTGAAGTAATATTTAAATAATTTCACTTCCAAAATATCAGAACATAATAACACAAAAGCTGATATATAGAGGATATTGAAGGAGTGTTCAATGTTCAATACTGAATTTAGTACTGGCGAGCAAATTATTATATTATTACATTCAACGAATTGAACCAATGCAGTAACAAACCTACATAAATATAATATTATATGTATCACATGCAGAAAATAAAGACTGTTTAAAATAAAAAATAATAATTCTCCATTGATGCGCCTTTACTGTAACTCTAACATTTATGGCCTCTTTATGTTTGTATAACGGAAATGAAATCAGATCTAAATATATGCACACTGACAGTCATACAATACCATTTTTATGAAGTCACAACATTGGCACTAGTATATTATAAATTTGCATACATCACATTCTCAAAATCTTGATACTGTTATAGATTTGTTTTTAACACGAATATTTTCAACATGAACATTATGATGTCATGATTTGATGACATCAGGAAGTTCCCGATCCAGTTCTGGTTGCTCATAACGGACGAAACTTCCATTTCACAAGTATGGGTAAGAGTTTGTATGAAGACGACCGTAGGGAGTCTTATCAAACTCTTACCCCCATATACATGTAACTGCAAATCGGCTCTTACAACTTGATATCAGATCGAAATATAGAAAGTGTCACCTCTTTAATTAAGCATAACATTATTTTTCCCCAGCAGTCACATACAAACAAGGATGGGGTCCAATTACTTCATATGGCATGAAAAACAATGAGTTTTCAACAATACATAGGATTGTTAAATGCAATTCATTCCTGTCATATGAAACAAAATAATGTTTTGCTTACTTTTTTTAGAAAATATAAACAGTCAGCAATTAATAATTGACATTTTTCTTAGAGTTAAAAGGATATCAAAAAGTTACTGTGTTCTCATTTGTCTCTGTGAGCGGAGCTCCACGTGCATTATCTATGTAATAAATTTGAATGTATCTTCACATTGCTACAGTATTATCAGCCTTTTTAGAAACACCTGACCTGGCTAATTATAATATGCCAATCACAATTTTCACTATCAGCACTGGTTTCTTCATGAAAAAGCGGCTACACTAATTACTGCCGAGTAAGAGTCGATTTGCAGTTATTAAATTTAAATGACCTCATAATGTAAAAAGCAATAAAATGACTAAACAGTCACAGAGTCACAGAATAAACATTCACATGTTAGATAAAATTATACTACTATCATCGGGTGTGTGTATTCTACTTATTAGCATTAGCTTTTATACTAAAACTCATGGCTATGCGACTAATAAAAATGTTGCATCTGACGTTAACTTTATGAAATACATTTTGATCTTACATGCAAATCCAAGATCATCCCTTGTATTTATTTATTTTATGATGTAAAGATTCATGTACATTTAAATTATTAACATGTTCACTATGTACAGTCATATAACCATCATCTGTGACTTTTATGCCAGTTTGTCGTTGAGGTTCTACTGCTATTGTCATTGGAGGAATTACATTCTGATAAAATGAAGCAGCAGTCTTTATTTCTTTAGCTGCAATCTGTGTTATATGTGGCATCTGTGAACCTCGAACTGCAATAAATATATTGATATTGTACTATAAAGTGACAAAAGATGTACCCATATACAAATGTAGGCTAGCATATTGTAATGGTGAAAACTGTTACCCTGTCTGCACAATTACTTTATGCATTAGAAAATAAATTATAGGATTACATACTGTTACTCTCCAGAAATTTAGCATGAAATTGGAATAATGATTATTTCAATACTTTACACAGTTTAGAAATGTGACATATGACTTTTATCTCTTTTCTATATTCAAAATCTGGTTTTAGGAAAGCAAATGTCAACTCACTTAGATCTGTAGTTTCCAAATCTAATGTTATAAATGTAGGATTTTCTGTCATTACTGGCTTGAACTTTCCCTTAGAAACTGCATCTGGTAAGGTCTGTATATCTGGGGTCTGCTGTATGACCAATACCTAAATTGTCACATCATATTATATAGATAGCTTTTATACACAGTGCTTGGAAGTGAAAGGAAACCTTTGCAAATAATATAAGGTTCTGAAGGGTTTTTGAGATCCTTATCCATGACTTAAACATCTAGCACCTTGTATGTTACAGTTATTACCATACAAAATTAAGTATAGCATGTGTATTACTTAGGCTTATTATAATGATCACAATGAGAGTCTTATTTTATTTTTTTTCTGCAGAAGAAAAATGCTTCTGAATCTAGTGCTGCATGCAAATAAATGATAAACACACCTTCAAACATAAAAAACAAGAGCTGTCACAGAAAGTGACAAATGCCCCCTAAGGATTCTAGTTATAAACCACCTAATTTACATGTGGTGGTAAAAATTGACAAAGTTCGAACCCCAGCAGTGACCTTTAAGTGAGACAAAGAAACCTGTGTCTTGTTCACAACACATAGTTCATCTATGGTGATTTTATATTTTTAATAAAAATTGAAACTTTAATGTATATGAAAGTTACAGAGCGGACACTGTATATAACATAATTTACAGGGTGTTCACTAGCCATGAAATCCTGAGGGTCATTTAGACAAAGTTTTACCGACTTCAAGGCCAAATCCCCATGATTTTAACAAAATTTGACCCTCCAGTTAAAATCCTGAGGGTCACATCAGGCCTTTTGGAAATTTGAAGGGTCAAAGAGTCATTCAAGCGTCAAACGGACACCCTGAATAAACATAGAAAAAGTTTAAACCTCAGCAGTCCCTGTGGTGGAAAATGTTTAACATGAATGATGGCACACGTATTGAAAAGACTATAAATATATTTTATACACTTAATGCGTTTAACTCAGAAGTGGTAAATTATTTTTCGTATTAAGGAGTCAAACAATTTTGACAATAGTCTACAATGGCTTGTTATTTAAATGGCATAAATATTTTTTAGATACTACATTCTCAATTAAAGAGATGTAAATTAAAAAATGTTTTGTGGTAACAAGTTAATTACATACTCCATTTCTTTATTTGTAAGCCTCTTCAGCTGACCGTTTCTGTGATTTTGCTCAGACAGCTTCTATCACTTCACCGGCCCTCTCTTAATTTCCTTAAGATTTTCTAGGCTTATCAGCTTAAGATCAAGAGTGGCAAGGAAATTGTTAACTTTGACAGCCCCACCAATGCTGTCAATCATTGCTGTAAATATGACAGAAAAAAAGCAGTTACAATCATTGTTCAGATTAGATGGTGAATGTGCATAAACCTTAAACGATAATTTTTTAAACACTTAATTACCTTTTAACTGTTGAGTAATGCTTGAAATTTTTATTTTCTAGCGCATGAATAAGATTTTATAAATATTAAAATCACTGAGATCACTAACATGAGCCTACTGTCATGTGTGAAGTAGAGTATTCTAAGACATTAAAGCTGCTTATCTCCAGTTTAGCTGACGAGAAAATTAAAATTGAGAGAGATTAGTGTTATATATATTGTATTTTTACATTGGAGGTAGCCAGTCGTACAGGCCCGTACTGCTAGCCAAAATTTCTAGCTGTGAGTCACAGATGACTAGCATATATGCACTGTTTAGGCTAGCCGTACAGCATTTTTTCAATGAAAAATAAATGCAATGCTTGCACTTGCATTTATTTTTGTTAATACAGTCCAAAGATGTAGTTGTATCATTGTATGACACTTTGCTACTAAATAATGTTTACTTTGATGATTAGGTGATGTTTAATTATATTTGAATATATGTATTTTGTGACCATGTGCATTTTGTACACGTCTTATATGAATAAACTATCTATCTATCTATCTATCTATCTTATTATATTTTCAGCCAGTTACTCACATTGCTTATGACATTTTCAGCCAGTTACTTAATTGCAATACTTATTATCAATACATTTTCACAAATAATGAACATACATATTTCTATTAATTGATTTTGATGATGATATTCGGCAATTTATATTATGGCGAGATATCGACAGAATTAAATTTACCTATAATAAAACAGTTTTTGTGAGCCGGTGTTAATTCTGTAATATTTACAAGTTACAATTATTAAAATGAGCCGTGTCACGACAAAACAAACATAATGGGTTTGCGACCAGCATGGATCCAGACCAGCCTGCGCATCCGCGCAGTCTGATCAGGATCCATGCTGTTCGCTATCAATTTGTCTACTTTTTATATGGGTTGTAAGCGAACAACATGGATCCTGATCAGATTGCGCGGAAGCGCAGGCTTGTCTGGATCCATGCTGGTCGCAAACCCATTATGTTAGGTTTGTCGCGACACGGCTCAAATTACTTTGTCATTCACTTATTATCTAGTGCCTCGGGGCCTGGCTGATTAACATTCTAAAATATCTAAATTTGTTTCAAATGAAAAATAATAATTACCAAATCCAAGCTTTGTTTTTATTTCAAAGCAGGACATAATCCCCTACGTTTTGTTGTGGTGTGTTGTTCCATATGAAACCAAATTTAGATACAGCACCTCACTCTAAATTCGAACACATAACGTACAGATAGCCACCCAAGCCATTTTACAGCTCCCCCACAATGTTGTCGCTTGTGAGAATAAAGTTCAAAGACAACATTCCTTGCAGTGAGCTAAATTTCTAACTAAAACGTCGAACTCAATCACCCGTCTAGATTTCTCCACCCACCTGCCGATCCCTTCTGTCGGTGTTCATAAATTGGACAATTACCAATTTTGCACCTACAAATGCTCAATACGTGAGGGTTATTATAATCCACAAGAATATTAGGTTCTTTTCTCAACTTGCGTTTGTTTTTGGCCTTGTAACGGCCTTTTCTGTCTCTTACTTTCATTTTCGCTTCTGCGGTCTATTTTCTGAAAACGTGACGTCATATAGGGGTTTCCCAACCTGGTTTCACAGCAACGGGGTTTTTACGAATTATCCGTTTACAAACAACATATTCTTTTTGATAATTTCATTTTCATTTTATAAAAAAATAAAATTCTATTTGTACTGGATAAAATTATATGGATAATTTATTCATTTATAAATAAAACATAAATCTGTTTACGGAAACGGGCGAGAGGTAACGGATGTGCCGATAAGTTACGTAGAATGCCGACATGGCACGGAAAAACCCGATTCCATTACAGGGATCTTACCTTAAGGGCAAGATAAATAAACTTTAATTTGTCAAAACTGCATGGTAATATTAACATATCGTATAAGTTCATGTATGTACAAATAATTTACAAGACATATATGGTATTTTCTAGTTACAAATTAAAAATACTAATCAATATCGTATAATAAGAAATAACGACATAATTTTTAGTATGTCTTTAAGTTCTCTTTCAGTTATATCTTATTGACTTTATGAGTCAACAAGTGACAGCTATACTATTTTGGCTTAACCCTTTACCTCATATTTACGCGAAACAACGCACTTTCGACCCCCCGCCCCCTCTTTTAGGCCTCAAATAGTGAAAAAATGTCCTTTTTGGGCCCCAATCACATGTTTTTGTTTGAAAAAATGTTGATAAAAAATTGACCACTTTTTCGGCGCGGCCCCCAACCAAAAGATACATCAGGGGGTAGCTAGAAGGGGGAGCTGCCCCTTTCTGTTTTGGGGGTTTGAAGGGGGCTGTAGTTCCCCTCATCGCCAAGAAAATTTTGGACTTGTGATAGGTCAAAAATGACACCAGATCGATCATAAGGTAACGTAACGTGTAACCAACGCTTAAAAGCATTTGAGAAGCATTAATCCATTGAGAAGTTGCAGCACTTTTGATGGAAAAATAAACGCAAAATAGTGATTTTTGGAAATTTTGAGATGTCCCCTCATTGCAATGGTAACAGGAAATTTAAGCCTGAGCATGTAGTTACAAAGATAATAGTCCAGTCATCATTTGTTCCAAGTTTGATTAGTATTGAAGCAGTTTTTATAGTTTTATAGCAATTTGAACTTGTAACGGTAGACTTTTCCATGAAAACAGCCATTTTTCACAAAATGCTCATGAAGTAATGGGTTAATTGTGTGGGATTATATTTAACCTTGTGGGAATTAGTAAAACTGAGTTTATTGAAAGCATTCCTTATAAAAATTAAGTAAAAAGCTAAGATAAAAATTGACACATGTATATAGCTTGTTTTTTGTGATTTGTATATTTTTCGTATGAAATTTTCGTTACGTCTGGTTCGTAACATATTAAACTATTTGACTCATATTGATTAAAACTGTACCAGATCGATTACAGGACATTGACAAAACACTTTTAACAATATGGTACCAGCAATGCAATGATTCGCACTATTTAAATGTTAGACCACAGGCCATGGACATTTTATTAATGTTTATATTGAAACATATGAAACGACTGAAATAAATATTTAGCTTTAAAAGACACAGACATTTTTGCGATTCAACAAATACTAGTATGCAAACTATAATAATTGGATTAGGCAACATATTTAAATGAGGTGTATTTGGCGATCTTTGTATCTAAATAATGATTGTTTCCTTTCTTTAATGTTAACTAACATAAATGTTTCGATACTTTGCTTTATTCGAATCCTATCCTACTCCAGAGATACTTATACTTATGTCTTTGTTGTCGACCATTTCAGTTTTTAATGGCATATTGTACTGTCTTAACGTAATCGAGGTCAGCTATTTAGAAAAATGCTTTATTTCCTACCATTTCAGCACGGACCAATAGAACATCGAAATGTCTAGTAATTTCAATGAGTAAGACATATATATGCAATTATCAAAATAAGTATAGCACAAACTTCCTTAAGCTATAATAAAAAACTACATAAATAAAGTCAATACAATTAAACCGGCGCTCGAAAATGTAAAAATAATAAAAAAATAACAAGTATTCACAAGTGGTTAAAAGTCTGAGAGTCAGTATGATAAAAAATAATGTATTCAAAATGCGTATTCATGTTTGCTTATCCTTAACGTATCAGTGACTGTGTTTAAATTCTACTAAATAAAACGAATAATGTATTTCTCCTGAGAATAGCTACATGTAAAAACAATATGTTTACACAGCTTTACAATTGTAAAACATAAATGAGTGTTCTAGTTCATGATGAGTCTCTTCTGTTGTACCTTGTCATTTAATGATATATTTTGTTAACTTTCTAATAGAATAATGTAAACAAAGGCAAGTTAACGCAAAACATCACATGAAAGGTCAGTCGATTGTCTGCTACAAGTGAAAGAACATCCGTTATATTAATAAGCATACGTGTCTAAAACTCCGATGACTTATGTTAATGGAAATGTTCATTGCAAATACCCAGGGACTAGAGAATTGGAGTATCTCTTGCATTGCATTTTTATTATTTACTAAGTTATATAACAAAGATCTTACAACTACATTTTAATATTGGCCTTTGTACATTTTAAGAAATAAATATATCTTTTTTGCAGTTCCTGATTTCTTTAATTTGATGATATAAAAATAAAGAAACTAATATCTACACAACATTTAGGTCAGCGTTCTATCGCACGTGTACTTGTCTTTGGCATTATACTGTAACTAAATGAGAAGCTGCAGATGACTTTATAAGTTTTATAGACTGTCAATATTATAACCAAAATAAAAGTCCAGTACGTTCCTAGAATAAACAATGTGTCAATGTTTTGTAAGAATGATCTACTTTTATGATAATATAGCAACAGAAAAAACGTTAATACAGTAAAAACAAACGGAACGTTTAGAAAATCTGAAAAAGGCACGAAATCATTGTGTTAAATATTTTTAATATACAATGCATAATTTGTACATTAAGTGTAACATGTAAACCTGCCAAGAATTGTGTGCATTCTTTTAATTTTATTACCGTTCTGTTATTGTTTCGCCTTTGTGCTATCTCTTGTTTTTTGTTGGTGCCCTCTTGGTTTTTTTTGTCGGTGCACTGCTTATTTCTTGCCGATGTGTTGGCTACGTTTATTAAGGAGATACTTTCAGTGAACTTCGCGACCGCCTCCGTGGTCGAGGGGTTAGAGTCGATGACTTCTAATCCAGTTACCTCTCTGGCGTGGTACAGTCTTGTACTGGTGTAACTCTCCAGGAACGATGGTTAGGAAACTACCCGCCTATATGACTGAAATACTGTTGGGAAAAGGCGTTAAAAGGAAACAAACAAACAAACAAACAAACAGTGAACTTCGCCTGTCTTTGTTGTCCATTGTCTGCACATGTTGTTGATGTTATTCTTTTGTTATTGTCAAATATTGTTGAATTGTGTTTTTAAATGATATATTCGATGATTTCGATTCTCCGGTAATGATCAGATGAGGATTAACAAAATATGAAAGTTTGAACTATTATCCTGAAAATTGC